GGAGGGCAAATCCACGCCTTCAGAAGCACCCTAAACCTAACCCTAAACCTAACCCTAAACCTAACCCTAAACCTAACCCTAACCCTAAACCTAACCCTAAACCTAACCCCTAAACCTAATCCTAACCCTTACCTTAATTTAAATCGGCTTTCTGCCGCTGCCCCTGTTGCCGCGCTGTTGTCACGGCGGTGATGACGTCGCAGCTTTAGCGACACGGTTTTATCACTGCTATTTTGACGAGCGTGGTTTTGTCGTGCCACGGAACATTTAACTATGTTTAATTAAGCTACATTTATATGATATACAAGTTAAAGTTCATTTCTTATCCTGGCTCCATCAATTGTTTGAAATGTGAAATGTGGATTCCAGCTCTAGCTATTCAAAGATCAGATGTGGTGCTCAGCCCACAAGAGCACTCTTTCTGTAATTTATAGTGATACTTACTCAATTCTTTGCCAACAGCTGCTGCCACACAATTTTTCGGCAATTCAATCACAGCACTGATATCTTTATTAAGAAAAGGGGGAAAGTAGAATAGGAAATTAATATCTAGCTTATGTTATTCAAAAAAAAATGTGCTACTCTTTGACTACTTTCAGAGAACTACTTAAATCAGCTGATATATGATTTCCAGGTGTTTTGCTCTTCTTAGGAACATTTCCCATGAAAGCCATGAAAAAAAAAGTAATACAAAACAATGTTTATCTATATAGGAGTTAAACACAAAGACACCCCATGAAAGATGTTCCAATTTCTCTATCAACAGATTTTGAGACAATGGCTAGTGTTGGGAGGGCTTATTGGATATAGCTAAAAGTGTGCATGAAGCAGAAAATGCATTCAAACCTGAAACAAATATTATGTTCTGCAGTTCTGCCAAATTGTGCTGGATGTAGTGTGGGTTCACCAAAAACCAAACCCTCTCCCCCCACCAAAACGGTGGGTTTGGACTTCAGTTGAAAGAAAATCCAGGGTAATCACACAAGCATAATAGGGCAAGACTGGTATGGTTTCTCCATTTCTTCTTATCTTTCCCTGAAAGATAGGAGCTCTGTGGACTGGCCATCTACTAATTAGCCAAATGCCTCTCATTCTCTATCTTTTCTTATGTTGCACTTGAAACCAAGGACACCATACTAAAGGGAGGTAAGGAAAGGCAAGCTTTTGGAAAACTGTGGAAATGGGCATTTCTGGACTTGAAGTCAAGGTGTTGAATATCCCATTGGGTCCATCCATCTCCCAATATTCCCAGCATTTTATTTTTCCTGCTTCACCTTTGCTACTGCATACTATCAATGATCTTGAATTTTTCTTCTTCTGCCGTATAAAAACATGTAATTCTTGGAACATTTGTATTCTACTCCCTGTCGAGGCCAAAACATACATGTCTCAAATCAGACATATATGTCAGGCTTCTCTAGGAATCTTTTGCATGTTTCTATCTGCCCATGGTCAAAATGCCCAATTTTCAAATCAAACTGTATTTGAAGTTTCAATATATTGTGAAATTAAAAAGAGTTTTCAACATGTGTTCTGTCAATTCACATTTATAGATATGTTCAGCCAATCTACTACCTGTTTCATCTACATAGTAGCAATTTTAGACCGAGCCACATCCAAGAATGAAAAATAATTCCTAGAGACTTGGCACACGAACAAGTCAGTCATTAGCAAATGAATTGAGATAATTCTCAATTCAAGAAAAGTCAAGGAAAGAGGCCAACAGCTCTATCTGATACATCAGATCCCATCACAGATCTAATAAACAACCAGATAAGTTGGAACCAATGTCAGATAAACAAGAATAAAGAAACAAACAATAAGCCATTTAAAGAATCAAAGATGAAAGGAATGTCTCAGTCAAGGATGATAAGCAAAATATATTGGCTTATGAAAAGAAACAACAAAAATGATGGAATATGCAAGTAAGATTTTTTGTTGCTGTTATATTTGAAAGTCCTATATATGTCCAATAAGAAAATAAATTCTAACAGGTATTCCTTTTTTACTCATATTTTAGAAAAAGAAATTAATATATTTGAAATCAATAAATTTAATACGGTATGTGTATTTCTATTTCAATATGCACTAGTAAACCAAATGCTTGTCAAAACATAGGGATAAAATATGTCAATTACTTGTTAAATTATATCTCCCAATTCTGAAATTTGAGAGGATGGGCATTCTTGAAACAAGAAATATAAACAAACATAAATTTCTTTATTTATGCAAAACTTTGGATATATAATTTGCCAATTCCCCTTTTCAAATTAACTTATACTGAAGGAGTGGTAAGACATATATTTAATTCATTCTTTTAAAATAAATGACAAAATTCAAACTATAAGCTTCAAAACTTGAATAACCTAAAGTTGTAATTATTTTTCCCCTTTTTCCTGTAGTATTCAATATGTATTCAATATAAATTTCCTTTACTTGGTTGTTCAGTTTTGTACTTATATTTTTATTCAGTGTTTTTTATTTCTCTCCTTCCTTTATTAATATCTTATTTTAAATAAAATATTAAAATTTAACATTTACTTTAGTAATAGGTAGGAATTTTTGATTAGCATAGAGCGTATTATTTAATATTAGTTTTTCTTCTAAAATGCAGTTTTTATACAGTTGTATACTTAATGTAATTTATATAAAATATTACATATCAACATGTAATGTCCTGTATGAAATGTTAATAGTAACCATTTTAACTTTTATTAAGCTTTAATATATGTTATCTTTAGAATCAAAGAGACTTTGCTAAATTAATGCTATAACATTTTATAGATTCATTCTACTGCTTAATAAGTTACTTAAATTTGTTTACCTGCATCAGTTAGATGACTTGTCTTACATAAGAGATCTAATTTTTGGTTCCAAACACACAAATCACTTCCTCCAGAAAGCCATACATCCATTCTTTGAAGAACAGTCAAACACTACAAATTACAAAATCAGATATATAATGTGTAACATTTTTGAAGTATGTTTTCAAATAAAATTATCAGTTTTAGATACTAAAACTTTTAATTTCCTCCCAGTAACATTTATAATCATTTATAGAGCTTTATGCAGTTTATGAAGCAGAAAGGAAAAAATAAACTTGATATTTCAAGATCATGTTGAATTATAAATGCAGTTGAATATGTGTATTCTCAAAGGCAAAAAGGTAAAGGTTTCCCACCTGGGTATTCCTGACTCTAGGGGGAGATGCTCACATCCATTTCTTAGCTGAAGAAGCCAGCATTGTCCAAGGAAGCATGACTATATGCCAAGGCACACAGAATGCCATTTTCTTCCCATCAAAGTGATACCTTTTTATCTAATTGCATTTGCATGCTTTCGAACTGATACATCACACAGGATCTCAGGCTTTCCAACTGACAAGCTCAGCATCTTTACCCTCTGAGCCATTGTGCCCCCTATACTGAATAACACTTATTTTCAAATTAAGTAGGATTGCAATCTATATTTTTCAAATCCTTGAAATAGTATTTTTTGTCAAGACAATATCACATTAAGAATATTTTCATATCCCACATCTAATTTTGTTTAAAAGGAAACAACTCAAAATGAGATTTTAAATACCACAAAAATAATTAGTCCTTGAGATGTTCCAGGTTTTTCAAATACATCAACATTAAATATACAAAACTGAAACTAACATTTTACATTACAGAGAAGTTACCATATAGTAGCTCAGTACTGCCACCTGAAAAGTATCAATATTAAAGACCAATATTGACCTTGCTTTCCACATTGTATGTCAGATAGAAACTTAGAACTACAGTCTTGACTTATGACCAGTTGTTTAACGACCAAAGATAGGTCAACTTGTAAAGGCTGCTTTGTGGCCTGTAAAGCATTTCTGGATATCATAAAACATTGCACACCCTTGGTCACATGACTACATTTCAGGCATTGGGAAACTGACTCACATTTACAACTAATTGCCAAGTGCCTGACGATCACGTGGTTGTCATTTCCTATCTTCTCTGTCAGCTTTCCCAGAAAGTCAATAGAGAAGACAGCAGGAAGGTTGCAAGCAAAGGAGAAAAAGGGGAGCTGAAATCCTCTGGTGGCTGCAGGAAAGCTTAAGAATGAAAGACGGGGAGCTTTTTTGATCCATCCAAAAGACCTAGGATATCACTTAACGACTGCAACTAGTAGTGCTGGAATTGCAGTTGTTGAGCAAAGCAGTCATGCGAGCATCTTGTTTAATGATTGCTTCATTCAGCAATCAAGATTCCGGTTTCCAGTGTGGTGGTTAAATGGGAATTTTGTGCAATTGTCTAATAAATGATAGAAACATATATTTTGGCATTTAAAGGAATCTCCCACCATAATCTCAAAGATGTCATTTGAGAAGTAATCAAGAATACATTGGTTGAGATCCATAGACTTCCAAGATTATACAAAGCTATTTATAGTAGTGATCAATATTTTTGCAAATGGACAAAGTGATTGAATCCATCCTATTGTAATGTGCTCTAAAAAGATTGAAAATATATGGTTCACTGAACTCTCAAGGCATCTAAAAAAGAACCAAAAGTATCTAAGATTAGACACAGGCAAACCCTAAACCTGCAAATTTGTTAGTCGCAATTGGGTTCTACAGTGTGTAACAAATATGCATGTGATAGAACTTCATCCTTAAGACTGATAGGATTAAAATCTAAATAAATAAAATAGACAAAATCACATCCAGTTTTACTTACCTTTACGGTGGAATGAAAACAGGATACTCTGTGGATTTGTTTGCCATTATCACAATCCCAAACCTGGTTTCAATCATTAAGGACTAAGAATAGCAGCTGAATTATCTTATATGACTATAATAAAAAAATGGAGGTAAAAAACAGAAGCATCCATTAGATATGAGTCTGTTTCCTACAGTTATTTCTTATGCAAAAGTGTTTCCTTGAGCTTCTTACTGCCACACAAATGATGGAAGAAGTCATTTGTAGAACTTATTTCCTTACTGTAAGAGAAAAAAAAGCACCAAGTATGCAAATGTGTAAAATCTTTTCCTGCGAGTTCATTGATTAACCTGAAGATTATTATCTCCAACCGCCTTTTTTGTCCATGCAATGAGGAATTGTGCAGTTTCACAACTGCATCTTATCACTATCCTTTTTAGCCACACATCAATGTCATAGAAATGATGAAAGTCTATTGCTTTTATAGCGGTTTGCTCATTAAAACCCTAAACGTGGATGCGATAACACTGTGAGCCATAGGCACTATTTATTATGCAACACAAACCAATTCTGCATTTCTTTAGTCAAAAAGTAAAGGATACAACTACAGTTCTGTCAGCACCTGCTGTCAAAATCATATGGCATTTTTCTTCACAGGTATCTGTCAAAGGAAAAGCTGCAAGAGCTGTGATTTTTTGTGTATGTGCATGTAGCTCAAATAACTTTTCTCCAGTCTGAAAAACAAAAACAAACTTGGTATCATAATAACAGTGCTAAATGAACACAGAAATATGTGTTATGAAAAAACAATACAAGTAATCAGAATCCTCAAAATATTATTTATTTAAAAATGAGAACTGATACTATACAATGCAAATATCTGGTCCATCTAACTTAAGCTTCCCTCACCTGCTGCTGCTATTTGCTAGAAAACCCAGCCAATTCCAATAAATCTGTTTACTGTGCTAGCTAACAATTACATTAAGTGATGGAAAACGCATCTGGATTATGGTAGACTAAGGAAGGTTAATCAACACTGTGTGGTATAAGCTCTCAAAATTCCAGGTAGGATCTTTTCCAGCAATACCATAGATACCATATGGGGTCATAAATGTGAGATGGGTGGCTATACTGAGTGAGTGAGTGAGTGAGTGAGTGAGTGAGTGAATGAAAATCTACCCCAGAATGATGATTTTCAATTGCTTTGTAACTATTCTTACAGCAAAATCTGAAAAATATTTGTATATTTCACCATGCATGTTTCAATTCCCAGTATGAAGTGCCTTTTGCTTTTTCGAAAATACAATTTTAGAGTCTTTTCTAAAAATGTACCAGAATTCTTATATTAGAAAGTATAATTCTGTTAGTAATACAATATAGGTAATTTTAAAAAAGATTATTCTTTTTGATTTGTGTTTATATTAACTAAAATGTTTTATTGTATTAATACTAGGTATGGAAAATAAGGAAAAGATATGCAGAATACCAAGGCTTACTAACATTTTTACTCTGACTTCTTACATTTAGTTGGCACTGTGAACAGAATACGTTTGTTTTTACTACTTTAGACTTAAATGCTTTTTAAAAAGAAAAAGGTAAAAACTGACATCAGCGACACAAGGAACAGCTGAAGGATCTGCTTCAACCAACTCTGCCATCTACAAATACAGTAGGTTTGGTACAGCAACCCTTCCAAGGTGCTGAACAATATGATGGTGCTTTAAATGTAAGATTGTGACCCATTAGACCTTTGTACATATGTCTCTCTCAGCCACAAGTTTGCCATTACAGTTAGTATGCACTGTCTTGTGCTTGATGAGGTTTTTTTTTTCCCCCTATTGCAGAATGGAGAGATGGCTTAAGCAACATTTTTAGACAATTTCTGCTGTGACTGTTGCTTTTATCCCAACTTTGTCGCAGATCAGAGGTGGGAGAGGAAGAAATAACAAAGAATAAGCAGACATACAATGAGGAACATGCATCTGCTAGCAGCAGCTGTTTGCCTGATGCATACAGAGCACGGAGTCATGTACAAGCTAGATAGACAAACAGCTAGCACATTTCTTTCTGTGTGTATTTTCTATTGTGTACCTACTTACTCTCTTGCAATACCTTCCTCTCTAATGAATGTAAATACAAACAGTAATTCTCTTCTTGCTAATTATCCTAGCACCTGGATGAACATTCAAAATGAGAGAATGGGAGAAAAAGGAAAGCTGAAGCAAAGTAATAAACACAGTTGTGGTTTGATTATAAATGAGCAATTAGTGAGCTCCTTGTGCACCTGTGTCAGGCCTTTCAGGACCTCCCCCAATCTCCTCCGGTAGCCTCCCCACCCCACCCACACACAGTACCCCAGCAGTCTGTACCTGGGACTCGCTCTGGTTCCTGATAAACAACCAAAGATCTTGGGGTTACAATAACAAATGAGAGTTGCATGGATTGTCATTGCTAAGAAATGCAATCACATGATGTCATTTTAGGATCACATAGTTGAGCTATCTCAACCCTAGTCCCTACTGTTGTCATAATTCAAGAACTACCTATATTGGGTTCCACCACAAAACCATGATGCCCTTATCCTGCCGCTGTCAGCTGGAGGAGGAGGGCTACCTTTGGAGGCAAAGAACGAAGCATGTAGAACGCCCTTCTGTCGCCGCGCTGTTGTCGCGGCGGTGATGACATGCGGTGATGACGTTGCGACTTTAGCAACGCGATTTAATCTCCGCTATTTTGCATAACGCGGTTTTGTCATGCCACGCCTATATTGCAGGTAGTCCTTGGTTATATAAAATTTAAAAAATAGTCCATCGATTGTTGACAGTATTACAAAACATATATAAATCATTTCTGCATAAATATTCTAATACTGCAGATATGCAAATATATTGATAATCTAAATGCCTATTTAATCTTCACCTTTTCAATTGTAAATTACAGTCACAAACCCATGGTTCTTTATTATGACCTACATAATGCATTTTTAAATTTATATTTCTACTTCTGCAATAATGCTTGTTATAAATCTGAATAATATAATAGCTTATTTTATGTTCCAGCAAGTCATGAATTTAAACATCACCCAATCTACATCTATGGATTTTTTTTATAAACATTTTTTTAATTTCCTAAACAAACCTGGATATTCCAGAGACATACAATTCCATCATCACCAGCAGATGCAAACCTAGTAATGAAAAAAAAAGATATTGAAGACATCTATAATTACATTACAAAAAAGCAATAAAAATGCTTTTTTATTAACCTTAGAAAGCATACTTAAATCTTCAAAATGAGATCATGTTTTATTATCGAATAAATAAAAGGTGTATTATATTTTTATATGATCAGGCTTCTATTTCTAGCACCTCTGCATTCATTTGTTATAACAAAGTCAAAATAATCACCTAAAACACTTTTGATATTATTTTAAAAAGTAATGGATGAATCCAGATAAGAAACACTAGTCCTCTACGAGCTACATTTAATTCTAAAATTATATACTGAATTACTACTATCATATTATGTAGCACAGATATGCTTTTTAAAGTCTTCTAGAAAGAATTAATGTCTCAATAAGAACAATGCTTTAGATTATTTTTTTTAAACTATGAAACTCAGGCTTTCATGTGACATTCTCCTGCCAGATCAATCTCATATCGCAAATGGATTTCTTTTCACCAAGTTGGTGTTTCATGGGTCATCTGATTCTTTTCCAGTCATGATCACCATCCTCTATAATCTTGTCTATTTCCTGGAGGAGCACCAAATGGTCAAACAAGCAATTTTTAAAGTGTGTTACGAATTCAGTCCAGTTTAATGTGTCAAATGCTAGAGTATTACTTGCAATTTTATTTCATTCCATTTTTTTAAAGATGCTTGCTAAGGCTTAGCCTTCTTTAGTGATCTTGCAATCAATATGACCTTCTCTTCATGTTCAAAAACTTAAAAGAAAAGAAGTGAAAAGCAGCTGCCTGTTAGGTTGATACAGGATTTATTTAGTATCTTCAAAAACCAATCTGAGAAAATTTTCCACTCACTGGTTTTAGCTGAGCCACAGAGAAAACAGGAAAATCCCTCTGCAAAATTCTCAATAAGATGAAATTATCTAGAGAGCTGAAGCATGAAACCTGGCTTACAACAGTTGACAAAAATGCAATCAAAGAACCAAGAAAACTAAATGAAATTATTTCAGAAACCAAGTAACAATGCTAATGTTGTTGGAAGGAATCAAATAAAATAATCATATTTTAGTTAAAAATCCTCTAATGACTGAATAAGGAACAATGAAAATAAAATTGTATTATAATTAAAGGAAAATGTAATATTTGTGTATAAATTATTCTTCTTTAAATATTATCCAAAAAGTGATTTTAGTTTAATATATCAAATTTGCTTTAAAACTCTGTACTACATTTCACTGTGTAAACTTAACTATTAAACTAATGAAATTTGAATATAGCATTCGTATAAATTAACAGAACCAGCTCGTCAAAAATATAGAATAAAGTGTCATGTCTGAGAGATATAATTGATAACATGTAGATAATTTGTACAGTTTATTCTATCTGTTCTGTGATTCACCAAAATCACAGCAAGGTATCCTTTGTTTTGTATAAAATGCTTTGTTTTCCATGTTTGCTGATAAGAAAACAACTTATACAATGTATATAGCTGTTGTGAATTAACACATTCTGAGACATCTGTTTCCAGTGAAGTGGGGAAAGCTAATAGCAATTAAAATCACACAACTTGTTCTGTCAAAATCTTTGACATATGTCTTTTAATTGGGTTTAGTTAAAGGCTTGTAGGGATTTCTTGTATCAATTTATATATAAGAACTAAGCTGTCCATCATATAATTTGCAATTTGGAAAAGCAAAACATTAAGATTCATTTTAAAAAATTGAAGTCATCTTTACAGTGCAAATGAGGAATATGAAAGCAATGTCTCACCTGTAGTCATCAATTGCCACTAGAAAACGCACTATATCATGGTGACCTTTCAGCACAAGAAGCTCAGTATATGGATTCTGAGCTTGTTCTTCACCAATAGTCTGTATAGATTTCTAGAAAAATAAAACAGCATCACACAATTTATACCTTTAATATTTTTCAATCAATAGATTATACGCATTTTCTATTCCTCTTGGTCCCATCCTAACTACTGATTTAATATACAAAATTTGTACATTTAGCCCCACTTAAAAGCTAGACTATAAGCAGATATATTTACCATGCTGAATAATATATTGTATATATGGGAACGATTCTTCTTAAATTTTAGTTAAAATTCTGTTGTATAAGTATTCTATTGGTTTAAGCATAGCTGCATATTTTCCAAGTTTAAGTTCCTAGTCAGATATTGTTGGAATTGCATTTTTCCTTCAAATATTGAGTCTAGTTTATTTTTGCTGCTCTAATCATATATCTCTTTAAATTATCTTTCTTGATTTCTTTTTAGATCTATTACTAAGAAAAATTGTGATTTAATTTCAAATCACAATTTTCTGCATTATACTATGTATGTCGTTCCAGTACTTTTGAGTTCTTTTACATGTCACCACATAGTAAAATGTACCTTCTGTTTCCTGGCATTTCCAACATTTATTGCAGTCTGATTTGTTTTAGTTATTATTGATGGGAGTTGTATACCATCTATGCAACATAAAACAATCTAGGACATAGGGACTGATATCTGAGACACTGCTCGTCTTCGTTTGTTTATTAGATTATTTCAGTCTGGGCTGTCTCTGTGTTTTCATGATTTTGGTTTTTCTTTCTTTTCTTTTTTGCTAGCTTTGTATGACACCCAATCAACTGGATGTAGGCATCTAACAAATTTAAATAAATACATTTTGTACCATTTTTTCTTTAAGTTATAACTTGGTGTTTGAATTGTGAAAGTAGCTGAAAGTGATGAACAGACTAGAAAGCACCCTTTCTGAGCCCATTGTAATTTTGAATGGTCATGAAACAACCAGTCTATGTCAAGGACTACCTTGTATGTCCAAAAGTAGCACAACTAATAGTCAGCTGGTAAGGGAAATAGACATAATGAAGTAAGAAGACTGTATATGATTTCTCACCTATTTCTTCCTCACTTGCCCTCTATCTACTCATCTGTTTGATGGCCTACATTCATTGCTGTCTGTAACAAAAGGAGGGATTACATTTAACCTGGGCGAGAGAGATTGCTGGTTCAGTCTTAAATGAATCATTTAAAGATTTCTGCTATTTCTGTCAACAGTGGGTTTTGCATGACTCTCCTTATTAAGTGAGAGGGAGGAAATACCATTCCAAAATTTTTAAGGCCATTTTATGTATTTCCAGATCCTGTAGACTGTAGCCAAGCACTGACAGCACTATATTGTTTAGATCAGGGGTGTCCAAACTTGGGAACTTTTAAGACTTGTGGACGTCCCCAAGTTTGGACACCCCTGGTTTAGATACTTAACAATTTGGGAGCCAGGGTGAAATTGAGAAAACATTTGGCAATTTCTTCCTCTATTGTAATCTAAGTGACATAAAAACTAGTAAACCAAGTCCTGAAGTTTTCTAGGTGGCTGTTAAAACTCATATCGTTTCCACTGAAAAGAGTGCATTTCTTCTATGAAGCTGAATATCATCCATTTCCCATTTTAAAACCATGTTTTTTTCTCTCAATTCACTTTCCACCATTTCTCTCCAGGTTTCCTCAGTCGTTTGCCTCAGTTTCCTTTATTTATTACTTTCTTTTAAAAGAGGAAGAAAGAATAGCTGCGCAGTTCAGTTTCATATTCATTAAGACAAACACACACAAGGGGGCAGGAACTCGGTCTGAAAAATAAGAGCCGATTCTCCTACTTTGAGCAAAGCAGTTGCAGGGATAATGGCTCTTCTGTAGTTACCAAGGGGGTCGGTCTTTCGCAACGTGGAGGTCTCTTAAAAAAAAACACAACCACCTTCCCTAATTCCCAGCAATGTGGGAACTCTGGGGATGGGAAAGGGCCACCTCTTCGGAGGGCTTGGAGAAAACTACCACCCCCCAAAGCTCAAGGCTGTGCAACTGGCCTACGCATAAGGGAAAAAGCCTTCGACTCTGCTCCGACTTCCTCAAGGCAGATGCAGCGCCAGACCTAAAACGAAATAAACAAAATGCGCCGCCACCCTTTGCCAGGACAGGAAGACGAAGGAGTCCGCTGCCGCGCCGAACCTCTACTAATCAACGCCCCTCGCGGCCCATGGCGAGCTTTTACCTCGGCCAACCCTTGCGGCTCGCGGCCCCCTCCTATAAGCCACCGCAGCATTGCGAGAGGCGGAGTCCGGCCGCCTGGAATGACGGCCTTCGCGTCTCCGGTTGAAATGCCGGTAGTTGTCAGGCGCAGCTGGCGTCCCTGGGCTCAACGCGGAAGGCTTGTCCCTCGCCTCTCGCCGTACTTGCAAAGGGGGGAGGGGGGAGGGGGGAGTCAGTGACGGAGACGCCGGTACTAGAAGGAGGCTCCCGGTTGCGGGAGGAAATTCAGAGATGCCTCCGCGGCTAATCGGTCCATGAGATGAAACCTAAACTCCTGCAGGTTTTTCTGGATACTAAACTAGATCCGACTAGATGCTAAACTAGATCCGGCTAATGCTAAACTAGATCCGACTAGAATGCTAAACTAGATCAGATCAGATGCTAACTAGATCCAACTGCTAAACTAGATCAACTAGATACTAAACTAGATCTGATTAGTTCCTAAACTAGATTCAACAAATAGACAACCATGACCAGGATGTTATAAGTCTCCTGCCTTGAGCAAGGGGTTGGACTAGAAGACCTCTGAGGTCCCTTCCAGCCCTACAGTTCTATGGTATATATGGCACCGGATAAGGTGCCAGATTGGCACCCTGTCAATCTTAATACTTGAGCCAGGAGATCTTCCCCAACCTGGTGTTCTCCCAATATACTGTAGGTTTTCAATTCCCTCCATCCCCAGTCAGCATGACTTGAACTGGCTAGGAATGGATCTGAAGTTGAAATATCCACAAGTTATGGGAGGCTGGATGCTTTTATAAGGGGAGTCTCAGTTTTCAGCAATTGCATAACAGGCATAAAATCAACAGGAGCCATTTTTCTCCTTGCCTATCATTGGGAATACCGTCAAGTGTTTAGCTCCTATTGGTATTTTGAACCATTCTGATGGTTCAGAAGTTGAGCTCCAACTCAAACTAACATGGGAAAGAGTCAAGTATTGGAATAATCCAGCACAAAATTTGGAGAAAATTTGGAGTAATCCCATCTCTTATCTTTCTTAAACAGATAGGCATTCTAAGATCAGTTTCCACTTTTTTAAATAAAGAAAATGAAGGTTATATATTAAAATTAATATATTGGTTATTACAGAACAGGACACATATTGAATGAAGAATAGCCCTTGATTATTCTGAAAAGTCTGATAAGATCATGGGTTGTCCAGTTTAAGTATTAATATATCCTCACCCTGTGCCATTAATCATTAAAACCCCAACACTTTAGGTTTGTCCTTAGATAGGGTAACCTGATTCATAGGATGGAGTGTGGTCCTTTGAAGGGTTCTGTTTTGTATGGCTAATACATTGATGCACTAATAACTAATTATTTCCAGGCACAGTTCAAATGTCCAGAAAGTGTCAGAAGTTACCTTCTTGCATTTAAGCAGATTGTGAAAACCGTTGTTTTACAATTAACTTTCTGCTCCAGATAATTAGTCCACGAGGCTTCCTTCAAGCATGTATATTTTTTGTTTAATCTTTAATTGAATATTACCATATGTTGATATTCTGATTTTACAACGGTTTTAAAACTGTTTTTATAATTGTATATTGTGCAGAGTATAAGATTGAGCTGTTAACAAATATAGCAGGTAAAGAAATTAATAAATCTATGGAAACTGTTCTGGCTCTCTATCGTAGATAGTTAAATACCTAATTATCTTAGGTAATTATCATGGAGAAAGATCACCCTGCAGTGACAATTGAAACAGAATTTCCTCTCTGACATTTCACTAAACATTTTATGTTACTTGAGTAACAAATAAACCTGGTGAGGTTTATTGATCAGTATTAAATTATTTAGTGCTACTTAACAGTTTTCAGATCTAAACCAGGAAAAGTTTGTGATATTGCCCCAAGGGCTATAGAAGGCCTACTCAGCAGAAAGCCTACAGCATAATGATTCTGTCCATATTATTGACACAAGAGAATTCCATAAGTATTATTTTAACTCTTGCTCATTGTTTTGTAGGAATAAGTAAGTATTCCAAATAAAACATCTTCTTTATGTATTTATTAAACATTTATTAAGATATCCAAACAACCGAGAGCTCCTTTCATGTAATGGCTCAGATGCTGAACTAAAAACTGGAAGACCTTGAATTCTGGTCCTCCCTTAGTCATGGAAGCCAGCTATATGATTTTGAGGCAGTCATTCTTTCTTAGGTCAACCCACCTCACTGGATTATTGTTGTGGGGAAAATAGGAGGAGTGACCATTGTGTATGCTGCTGCCTCAAGTTGTAAAAATAAAGATTGGGATATAACCCTAATACATAACAATTATTGTTTTAATCCAGGGGTCCCCTAATTTGGCCACTTTAAGACTTGTGGACTTCAACTCCCAGAATTCTCCAGATCAAAAGGCCAGAAAGAATAATGTTCCTACTTAGGTTTGCGCGGTTTGGATTTACCTGGAGTGCATTTACGTAGCAATTTTGCCCAATCCAGGTCTTTTCCCCTTCTCCACGTTCTATGAATATATTCTGCAATGGCATTAATTTTTGAAGGAAGGGTCAGATGCTAGTCAAGTTGATGATTTGCTTTTAGGGGAAAAAAACTTACAGAATTTATCCATACCACACATCTGCTTTGTTATCTTCAGAACAAATTTAGCAAGAGTTTATTATCTGGGCTAGAGGGTGAAATTGGAAGTGGGCGGTTGACACTTTGTAATGATCTGCTAGATTTCTCTACATGTGTTCTGAAGTCATGCTGCACTTGGCCACACTCTCCCATTGGAGATTTATTTTGGAAGTTGGCATATGATCAGAGGTTCTCTGTTTTGATCTTTTACATTTTTAATAGTGATATCTGTAACAGACATCCCTTAGCAAGGCATCAATTGGCTAAGGCACAATCAAGTACAATCATTGTGTAAAGCAACAGAAGGAACTAAAACATCCCCTGTGTTTAAAGAAAATTACTACTGCTAGAAGAGTTCTTAATGCAAATTAGCTATAAGGAGCTTTTACTAGTACAAGTCTTTGTGAGTTCATTGATCCTTTCTCTTTTTTTGTCACCATGTTTATATTCTAAGGAGCAGTTGTAGATTGCTTAATGGGAACCAAGAGACATGCTGTAGCTTTTCATTTGTCGTTACAGAATTTCTAATGAGTATTTTGGTGATGACACAAATATTTTGCCTATTATCCACAGTGCCTCATTCCAAGACAGGCTTTTTAGTAAATGGTTTATTGGTGCAACTGCACATAGTCAGCCATGAGAAATTGAACAGATTGCCATCTATCCTGTATAAACATTGCATTTTATTTTCTCATCATGCTCCTTGTAAAACAATGATTAATAATAGGAGACTGTTTGCATATTCATATACAGTTTGATAAATGGAGTTCACAGCAGATCACTTCAGTTGTCAGGGCTGCTGTTGGATCAGGATTTCATGTGTCACATGCCAAAAGAAAGCTGCTGTGATATTACTATGAACCCCCAGATGGCATTATAGCCTTGGTTTATTATGTTATTGTTTTTGTTATGAAGGACTTTTTACTTTGATTTAGGCATTTTCTTTTCTTTTCCAATTCCTCATGATAGATTTGATCAAAAGAAATAAAGTCTTACTTTCTTCTGTTTACTTTTTTTAAAGATTCCAGGTATTCTAGGACCCATCTACGCAGTAGAAATCATATTCTTAATTCGTGCAACAAATTAATGCTTACAGCATAATGAGATCTTGCAACCACTCTTCAGTAAAAAGCTCCACTCAGATTTTAAAGATTATAGCTATGGACAGATTATGTACATTTTAATAGCTTTATGAGAAACGTGTGAATTCACTAAGTTTTATTGCACACAAATATTAAAGTGATGCTGGATAAGATTATTGTCATATTGTTGAAGCCATCATTTAAATAGCAGTTTTATTATGGCAATTCATATTGTCATGGAATATGTTGGTTCTTTTGAAGGGAAAACTGGTGTCTTTTTCATTACCCTCTATTAACTTCATTCAGTCTGATGGGAGGGTCACTCATTTTCATGTAAGTCAAAGAAAATGATTTTTGCTAAAATGTGTTAGGGAAACCTCTACCAAATAGAAACTTAATGCTGCTGGGGAACTTATGGGGAAGAAGGTACTCAACAGAAAGCAGAGTCAGTGATTGCAGCGGAATTAGGTGTTGGTGAGTAGACCACATTTTGATAACTCCTCTCTGGACAAGGAGATAACTTGAGATTGTCCAGAACTGCTCCAGGCAGTTGCTCCTTGCAAAAAGACCACAAGATAGTGGTCTGTGGAGGATTTAGAGTTCTGGGAAATGAGGAAATAGTCATCTTCCTCAAAATACAGTTCATGCCTTTGCATATGTTCTTTTCAATCATGTTTGGAAACTGCTGGTCAGCTATTTGGAACTTTTGAATCAACTAATTTTACAGCACATGGTGAGTTTCCTTCAATCTTTAGTGATAGAAGCTTTAATAAGAAGTTTAAGGACTTTAAATATGTTTTTAATAATGAGAAAAGGGTGATTAAAACTTCAATTTTAGAAAGTTAAAACATACTAAAGATCTAGATAAATTTGAAATATTTTGGAATTAACTATAAAGAATCCTTCCCAGAAGAAAATGAGTCTGGTTTGAATTCTTAAAAATAAAATAAGATTTTATGGCATATTGAAGGATATTTTTGAACAAAAGTCCCTGAAATTAATTTTAACAATGTCTGCCTCAATAGATAGACTCTTTTTTAAAAGATGCTATGGAACAATTTCTTTCTGATAAGGTTGAAACAGATTTAAAAGTGGATTCAAAAATGACAGGCTATAAGAATGACATGGAGAAAGATGTTATACTGGACATATAAAAGATTCCAACTAATACCTTAATAATTAAAAGGGATAAGCAAATAACAAACCATGAAAGTGATCTGGATAATTTTCCTATATTGGATTTATAAAAAGAGGGTTGTTAAAGCTTTGAAGAATTTTGCGATAAAGAAACCATGAAAAGAAATCAAATTCTAGGACCTTATTTGAGAGGACTAAAAATCAAGAAGTAAAAGGAAAGAATATAAAGTTAAACCAATTCAATCTAGTCAGTCATGTTATAGAACTATTGTGCATATATAGTCCTTCAAGGAAAAGAGTTAGAGTTACTGAAT